TTCACTGTCCCCAGCTTATCAGCCTTCAACCCGAGCCTCCATTTGTCCGTGTCTGATGTTTCTATGGACCTTCCCCTCGATCCATCTTGCTTGTAAGTTTTTATCAAAGCTTCTAAAACCGACCCCTTCCGAAAAGGGTGTAACGTTTTGATTGGACTTGGTTCGCCACCTTTGTGCGCTGTGTAAGCTGTCCTCTTTTAGAAAATGGTCTTCCGCTAAATCGCTTACTGGTAACAGACAGGTTAAGAGCCATTCTCCTTTCTGCCGGTCTCTTTGGGGATTTTTCCAGTCACAGTTTCCGAATTGGGGCAACCACTTCCGCAGCGAGGTATGTGTTTCAGATCATCTTATCTAGGTCCTGGGCCGGTGGAAAACTGACGCTTTCAAACAACATATTAGAACCCCACCTGATCTTATCACTCCCGCAGCCAAATCGTTGGTGGAATATTTTGGTGAGTGCCGTTTAATTTAGTTGCTTCTGCGAATTTTTGCTTCTTGCTTCCATTAGTGTATTTGCTCGCTGCTTGGTAGCCTGTTTTGTATTTTGTTGTCTGTTTTAGGTTGCTGTTTGTTGTTTTGTGCCTGCTTGTTTTTTCAACAGGGAGCGTTAATTGCTTGGCTTTAGCCCATTGCCCTCCTGCTGTTTAGCATTATCTGGCTGTCTTGTCTTACTTGGAGGGGTGCGTCCCCGCAGTTACGTACTTGGAGATTCATTGTTTGGAGGGTCGGCCCCCATGGCTACCTCCCATCGGATCCTCCTTTCTCCAAGCACTTACATCTGCCCTGGAGTTTCTTTATCTTTGGAGGTGCCAGTGTGAGGTTGTTATGGTTACCCCCTTTATTTGCATTTTGCCCAAACTCGCTTGCTCATTGCCTGCTTTGCTGCCAATTGGCAACTACCCTCCATTTTGAATATTGCTTATCGACAAGTTGATTTACAATAAAAGATCAAAAGATACAACATTGTCAATAATATACATAAATTCTTAAATTAAGAATTTGATCATTGAAATTATAAAAAATTAAGTCGTAGATAAAGTTAAATTAAAAATCTTACGCGATGAATTTTTCTTAAAAAATCATTTGTACCGGCCATGGCGCGTATTGTTTCTGGTAGAGTGTTCCATGTTTTTGCCGCAAAGAAGCGGAAAGACCTCAGACCACGCTTGGTGCTACCTACCCTTGGTAAATAGAGCATATTTGTGCTCCTCAAATTATTATTAGTTTTCCTTACGCATACAATTCTCAAACTTATTAATAATTCATCATTTAAAAAGAGAAAATCGTAACTGTGACGGCGTTTGGATATCTCATCTTTCTCTTTGCATTTATGTGTAAAATCAAGACATGAGAATTTGAAAAGTCTCATTTCTTGATTTTACTCATGTCAGCAAAATTTTATCGCTTTCTTATTGATAGAAATCGTTTCCTTTTTCACCGTATATTAATATTTAACTTTTGCATTATCATTTTCTCGGCATCTACCAAAACAGTCGGCATCGACTAAAACTCTCGTCTAAGTGACCCATCGAGAAAAAACCGGCTGCCAGCAGACTACAATCACGATATCAACGATTAACTTTTGCTGTAAACAAACTCCCCAAATATTTTCAGTTAAACGGGACCGACTAAAACGTGTCAGCAAGTAATGTGATATCTTCATAGTACATTGCCCAATTTTCAGAATACTACCGTCTTCTACGAATCATTTGTTCATAATACCTCAACTGTATAGTAAATAACAATCAATGAATCAATGAGTCACCCTGTCTTACAACTGAAATGGTAATGGTTAACCTTTGATGAACTAATCAACTGGCACTGAACAACCTACAACCGTAAGTTCTTCAAGGAAAGCGAATCCAGTCGACCTCGGAAAAGTGATTTTTATGAACACACTTGAAGCCCGCTAATTCAAACTCGGTTATTTCGAATTCCTCGTCGTTTCGAACTCAAAGTCATTTACCATCAGCATCAGCTATTTCAAACTCCGCTACAGTTGAATCCCGCTAATTCGACTGAAATCGGTCATTTCGAATCCGCGTTATTTCGAACTCAAAACTATTCCCTCGGATTCGCTCTTCAGTCATTTACTATCGGCTTTTTCGAACTCATGTTGCAGACGCACCCCATTTATTCGAACTCGGTTATTCAAAACTCTCCGTTAATTCGAACTCAAAGCCACTTGCCCTGGAAATGTTCGAAATATCGGGACTCAAGTGTATTATCATGAAGAAAAAGAAGTAAAGAATCCGCAAAATAGTGACCGCTGTTGTCTTCCAAAACTAGCCTACCGAAATACTTCAAGTCATTAAGAAAACGGCTATTCTGATTAAATTTCATATATTGAGCATTGGCATTGGAAACTAGGATATTAGATTCTCTTTGTAAAACCCTGACACAAAAGTGGGTACTTGTACAGATCATCAGTATCTGATTCACGCCAAGTAAAAATGGAATATCACTATAGCGTGCAATATTGACCAGATGTTGCCCCATTGAGATAACAACAAGAAAGGGAAAATTCAGGGGAAATATTTTCGAAATAGAAAACGATATACTGTATTTAAAGAGCCTTTCAAGTGATATCTGCACTGCTGTAAAACCTCAACTCAGAAAATTCGTCGCACTATTGTGAATACAAATGCATATCAATACATTTTTTCCGACCTGCGTCAGAATCTTGTCATGCAAAATATCATTTTGCCCGCTGAACACGCTTCTCTTGTCCCCGTAATTGACCAGCAGGAAATAAACGATTATTCTGCTCAAATTTTATATATTGAGCATTGGCATTCGAAACCAGGATATTGTATTCTCTTTGTAAAACTAGAGATTGCCAGTTTTTGAAATTGCCAGTTTATGAAACATTTATGTCGGCGTGTTGTCGCAATTGACTGTAAACTCACTTCATTGTGCGTCATTCAATTCTGAATTCAGTTTTTGTTTTGCTCCCGGCCGGTTTGACAGGAGAGCAGCTATTATGAGCCCGTCTACAAACGATACACTGCGGCTTGAATTCTAACCGTTATCCGCTTTGTCCGTATGGAAAGGACAAATTGTCTTTCACTAAGTATGCTAAACGGACGTACATTATAGGTTGACGACCGTATGTTTATGATCTGTTGGTGGCTGTCAACTAGGCGAGGTCACCGTGGCTATCTTTTCTGATGTTCTTCCCAGTTCTTCTGCCATACTGATACTCATGGATGGTTTATTTAAAAAAAATGTTAACGTATCTCCCGAATGTGTATTTACCATTCACTTGAGTATTATTTTTCTTATTAAAACAGAAAATAACAAATAAAAATCAGTAAAAGATTAATAGGCAAACCCCTACTATCATTGTCGTGAGAACGAAGCGAAGGACAGTGCAAAGGGGCGTGATCTTCTTTGAAATCAGATTAAATAGAGAGAACTGGGTAAGGAAATAAATAATCAAATAAAATGATCTGTATTAGGGTTCCGTTTAAGCACGAGCAATACTTAAAATAACTATGGGAAAATATTGTCTCTCTCAGTCGTCAAATGCACTCACCTAATTTGAGAACGGAATTCTAATCTTCGATTTAACCATGTTACCCCGAACTCACCACTTTCTCTCGAACTCGAATCATTTATCCTTAATTAGCTATACTCTCCAGTCATTTACTCTCCTGCTATCCCGAGCGCTTTATTCGTTTCTCTTGAGAGCTCGAAATAGCGCGTTTTAACAGTCCATTCTTTCTCTCTCTTAGCTGTAGACTGTTTGATACGTATACAATCTACAAGATCGTCTTCCGCCTAGTACTGAGAGTAAATCACTTTTTTAGTGTTATCACGAAAACGGTTATTGCATTTTCATAATCACAAAATAAGATATTTTAATTCCGAATACGGTGACTCTAATAGCTAAGATTACTTTCCGAATGCTACTGAGTTTCAAGTAAAGTTACCTTTCTAAAGGTAAGTTCACACTAGCGTCACGACAGCATAACGACATAATGGCGTACGGTAACAACATAACGACATAACCGCATAACGACATAATGCCGGACATAATGACATATAACAACATGGTAATCGCTTATGGTGGTAATGCCGAACATCGACAGAAAGGGAAAACATCAGTCTTTTTCCTTACATGATGTATTTGTGTTCATGTAATTATGTTACTGTTATGTCGTTATATCAGCAATATTTACACAGCAAACATAACGTGCTTCCTATGTTGTTATGTTTATGTCGTTATGTTTTAATGTCGCTAGTGCGCAGGGAACTTGATCTGACTTCTTAAGTATACGACAATTTGTATAATAATGACACTGAGGAAACTGAACGAAGACTGCTGTTGTATAGATAAAATATTTGGTGAGAAACTTTACAAGAGTGGAAATATTTTTGGAAATTAGGCTTATTAAATTTAGAAATCCTGATGGTTATCTGGATGAGGAAATACCAGAAAACCCGTGAGTTTTGCCAATGTCAAGCTATAGTGTCTTTCAGTTTAATGTACCTGAAACACTGCAGCTAGTCAAGTACTCATTAGCTCCTGAGAATCCGATATACTGGTCTGAAAAACCGGCAGGAATATTTAATCATACTGATACTTCCCTGTTTTACATAAATAGAACATTAATTTGTTAGATGGCATGGTGAGGTTGGTAAACCAAATTCTTAATTGCGTATTTGTTCTAGTATTTTTCGACTGATTAAACCTAATAAAGCCGACTATAATGGGTTTATACAAAAGCAAACAATTGTCAAATACTTGTGAAATGTTGACAATTGTTTGCTTTTGTATAAATTTAACTCGTGAACGTACGGTTGGGAATCCTTCTGCGATAGAGGGCCAGACTGTCAACATCAAGAATTTGAGAACGGGACTTTGGGCGTGATGCTCAACGAGTTTGCCTTTGAATTCTAAAGGTCTCTGAAGAGTCTCTTGGCCGAGACGAAACGCCGCGTCAGACTAGCCACGAACATTTCACAAGTATAATGGGTTTAATTTTGAAATCGTGATGATAAAAGGAATTTCCAACAAAACGACGGCCAATAAAAGCTTTGAACACCTCAGAGTCAATATTTATTCATACAGGAACTTTAGAATGCAAAACAACTGCAGATCTTTTGAAGAACGCTCCAACGTTTATTGCCACGTTTCTGTATTTTTTAAGTATATCTAAAATTAGTTTTTTTGGAGTGTATATAAGGAATGTCGTATCACCGATTGTACAAGCAGGTCTCACTGGAGAACAAGAAGACTGCAGCAGAACAACAACAACAAAGGATTCATTGTTCAACAGCTAAAGGTAAACTTCCCTTAGTTATGATCTGCTTGAAGTCCAGCGTTTTACACTTCACGATGAATCACCACTTTGCTATAAATTTCTATATATTACCTCCTTGTCAGTTATGCTAAAACAGAAGAACATAACTGAGCTGGTGATGTGAGTCTTTGCAGATTGTTTTAAATTTTTTAAATTTCTCACCCCTTTGTTTAGTTACTGAAAATACAAGCTGGTAATTTTTAAGTGTAGTAGTAAATTAGGAACATGTTAAATATAACAAAAATAATTTAAACTTTTCTTCCTGATTGACTTATATTGACGTCGTACCTTACATCCAAAAAATGAACTGCAAGGATTTTTTAAGGAGATGTATTTTAATATGATTTCTGTAATTAGCAAGGAGAATTCGCTCGGGAATTATGAAGACATCAAAACGATACCTATTACAAGGCAAAAAGGTTTAATCCTTAATGTTACATCTGTGGACTCATTTTCTCCTCAAAAAAATAAAGGTTGGAAATTGTATACTGAGTTCTACCGCCATTTTTTTGCGAATGACATTGCGAGGCATCTTAATTTGATTATCTCTAAAGGCGGACTTTAAAACCTTGATGCATAATATGCTTTTAAAATGGGACTTAATATTTTCAGCTTCCCTAAAACAAGATGCTTTCCTGGATTCAGCTACTTGGTGTTTTCTCGCTTGCCCTGGTTGCTGCAATGGCGAACAAAGCTTCCCTTGCAACGGTGAACGACGAATTTAACTTCATGCAGGATGCAGCTGATACAGAAGATTATCTTACTGAAGTCAGTCTGGATGAGAGTCCCGGCTTCAACATTACCATTCCACGCTCGTCCATTTTAGCAGCCAAAAAATTTAGTGTCACCATCCCTTTGCTTCTGAGCGGAAATGGTGTCAACACATTTTACAGGCACTGTTACTGTTTTAGACGATTGGCTTCTGGTGAGTAAATCACTGCTAAAATCTAATGCAGTTTTCCATGTCTACACACTGTTAACGGAAAAACGCCCTGTACTTAAGTAGAAATTTAAAGATCTGTAGGATCCAACTACGTGGCCCTATAACATGATGTTACTTTGGTAATTTTCGGTTGTCTTATACTGGACGTCTTGTACACTTTTTATCTGTTAAAACGTAGCTACGAAAGTTGCTTCCTATGATAAGAAATTATAGGAGATAGCAGTGGCCAACTAAACCAATACGACATACGCGTGGCCCAAGATAGGAAGGTTAGATGTTATACCGTAGAATATTCAACGGCTTTCCTGTATTCTGATTGGCTATATTTTCTATGCATGACTATAAAAGTAATTATTCAGGAAAATATGTAGCTGCATTACTCTTATAACTAGAATAAGAGTAGTTTTTATGTTTACTTCTTTGAATTTGAGCAAACATTATTTTATATCTTAGTTCCAAACGCTCGTAATGGTTTCCGTGGATGGCGTGTTCTTAACCTGGTTGGCTACGTTGTGTCTGGGCAAACCTTGTATGTGTTCTATCGCTGTGACACACGCACCGTTTAGTCAACTGTGACTTGCCAAGACCGCTCCGACTTATATGAGCCACCAAAGGATAAACCACTTAACAGGTCCTTAATGACAGTGATATCTATGTAAAAAAGCCTTTGATTTGGAGTTTATAAGATATAATTGATTACGTTAAAGTATAACCTTAGATGTGAAAATAATTCATTGGCTTTTGTAAGTTCCTTTTTGTTTAAAGTAAAGCTTAATGTTGCTAGATTTTAACAAACGATTGCTTGAATATTCAGTGATCCATTGATTGTTTTGTTATTGTTTTGCTTGCTTCCAGGACCCAGGGGCTGTCTACTGTCTAAGCATGATAATAAAAGTCGTACATGTGAAATTCCGGTGGAAGAGGGGTACTTCAATGTTAAACGGGCAGGGATCCTCCGGGAGAGAAAAATGGCCTTGCCTTGGAACATGTACTTGTAATGAATATCAAGTCGGGCGTCTGATCCCGTAGGGGGTGCTACCTTATATGGGCCATATAGGTATGCATATGTGCGGCCCCAAATGCTATCGCGTTTTAGCCGTTTTGATCGGAAATGGGGTATCGATTTGGGTCATTTTATTCTCAAATAGGGTATGAATTTTCCACTCTTGTCTTGAATTCGGTATTTTAGAAGAAGCAACTTTTTCATCACTATCGATAATACCATCAACAAAAGCCCTTCACAATGCCTTTAACATCGGTCTGAATTAGAATGGAATAGAATAGAACAGAAATCCTTTATTTGAACACGATAAGTTTTAAAGCTAACAGCTTGCAATTGTGGGGTCGTGTATAAAACAAAAGAAAGACCTAATAACAATGTATTAATAGGTAAAAATTAAAAACTTCTGACCTTATAAGAACCTGATCTATATTAACAATATTTACACGTCAGAAAACGTTCAAATATAAATAAAATTGTCATCACGATGCCGCACAGTTGAGGCGGACACTACGTTGAATTTAAAATCTTTAAAGTAACGTTTTGTTTGAGTTAGGGAACTAATTATAAGAAACGGGATATTGATTTAAGTGTCAGGTCTTAAATAGGGCATCGAATGTTTGGTCAGGTGATAAATAGGCAAGGGAAAATCACAGATTTTGGTCTTAAATAGGGTAAAGATTTTGGGAAGCGGACAGCACACCCCATCCGATTTTTCTGGGAGTACCCCCTCCCCGGTCGTCTGACCCGTACCTGCTCGAAGGTAAGGCCATTTTTCTATTGCAGAGGATCCCCGTCCGTTTCTTTTTCCTTAGCAGTTACTGGTATCTATCCTCATCTTTTATTTAAAACGAGGGAAGAAATCTCACCAGTAAAAATTATAAGTATTACTCAGAGCCTGTTGGGAGGCGCGGTGGCCTCTTGTTTAGTGCGCTGGTCTCCGGATAGAGCGGTTCTTGGGCAAGACTCTTTACTCTCAGAGTGCCTCTCTCCACCCAGGTGTATAAATGGTTACCGGCGAATGTGATGCTATAGGGGTAACCCTGCGATGGACTAGCATCCCAACCAGGGGGGAGTAGAAATACTCCTAGTCACTTCATGCTACAGAAACCGGGATAAGCTTCGGCCTGATGGGCCACTTGGATTGTATGTAGACTTTACCTTACCTACCCACACCCTGTGAAAGTAAATGTCGTTGAATTATTTTGTTTCACTGACTGTCGTCTAATTTTGATTACTTCATTTCTGTTCAAACTAGAAATAACGTTCTACATTTTTGTGTAGTTTTGCTCGTTGTCTAAAGACAGAGCGGGGGTGTTTAATCTTATTCAAGCCGTTCCAGTTAAGGTATTTTAGGGAAACTGAAAATGCTGCGCCCAGTACTGCGATCGGTATCAAAAATAAATTCTCCTTAAGCAGATTTTTCTTTGTTATCAAAGCTTAAACTATTCAAGTTGTGAAAATCGATATCTATCAGAAGAGGTATCGTATTTAGGTAAGCTTAAATTAGTTAAGCTAGAATGTTATTGAAAGTTGAATATAAACCACTGTTTTTTCCTAAGTCAACACCCAATGGCAGTACATCACTTGCTCAATGAAAAATAAATTAAAACTTTATGCATTAAATTATATAGTTCATGACCTTTTACACGATGTTAGCTTCAACAACATAGCTGTACACTTTTTATTTCTCTTCAGTCTCAAAACGTTTATTTATAACAATACCCGCATTTGTGACGTTAACTTAGTGACAAGTTTGCTTTAATTTTGTGGAATTACACTAGAGGAAATACAACTTTGGTTCATTTTCTGTTTGTTAAATGATCACTTGGTGTACAATTCAGCAACCAAGGCGTTCAGCAACATCACACAGCTGATGTTTTACATCCATCTCCTCCTGTTAAGAGCAAGAAAAAATTAATCTGAAAGGCCACATGCACTGCAAAAGTCCAACTCTCTGGCATCATTTTAATTCGTGTGTATGCCCAGTCACGCACCTTTCAATACTTTCTACAGGTAAGTATCCCTGTGTAACTGTTAACTGTTAAAAACAATAAGCAGCTTGCATAACAATATATATATATATTTTTATATATTTTTATAATATATATTTTCAAAATGACTTTACTCACTAGTAAGCTGTTCTTCCTAAGAAATAAAATTTTACCAAGTGGCCTGTGTATTATAAAAGTTTCACATTCAATTGAAAACAACACCAAAAGGACGAATGCACATGTGACACAAGGAAACACTTTTGATGTCATTTCCTTACGAGGGATATCGTTTTCGGGACAGCAATGATTTGGTTTTGTGCTAGAATGCTTCTATGCCACTAGAAAGTGCGTTTTAATAGGAAACCAAACCGTAATTAGTTCTGGCAATCAAGCTTGGCATTTCGTGTGTGGCATTCTATTAAGCAAGAGTTAACCGAACAACGATTACTGAGGAATACGGATGTCATCTGAGTTCAGATAGGCAACTTCAATGCATGATTTTAAAGTGCATTAATGAAGATTGGCGTTTCGTGTGAGGTAGGTTATATAACCGACAACATAATTCACATAAAACTGCTGAAGCGAAGGAGAAGTAATAAAAATATATTACCATTCAGTAAGTGTTGCACGATGAACAATGATTACTCAACGATGATCACGTTCCGGAATAAGTATGGTAAAAGTGCTCCGTTCAGTTTCTTTATTGTTTTTCTTTTTTATGGAAAAAAAATTAAATTTTATCTTTCAGATGTTTTTCTTGTTATTATAATTTATTTTTTTCAGACCTATTTCCCTTTTTTTTAATTATTGCTTCTCGTTTAACAGCTGCCTCGCTCTTTAACTCGTATTTCTTGGCAGGAAGAAACAGACCGGGTTCCTTTGCGTGAGAAAAATGGCCTTTCTTTCAAGCATTTATACATATTGATTCTCATGTCAAACGTCGGACTCAATTTGAGTTTTGCGATATCATTTTTGGAGAGAATTAAAAACTGCAATACGAAATGTACTAAACAGCTTTTAACAACTTTAACCTCAGAAGTAATCGCTTTTTATTCTTATTTCTAATACAACTATTTACAATGGTTAAAGAACGCAATTATGTTATAAATTAATTTCAATACTGTAAGGAGGAAACAAAAAGGCGCTATGGATTAATATGGATTACATAAACTATAAGTAAAGAACAAAAGTAAAAAAAGAGAATGGCACCTAAGTGTTGTAACTAAATGACAAGTCCACATACATGTAGTTTGAGGTTTGGCTAGCATCAATGTCACACGACCGAAATTTAAATCATGTTTAGATAACAAGCAGATTGCAAATTCACCTTTAAAACGTAATGAGCCATAACGGCGTTCAGGCTTTGTAAATAAATGTCAAAACACATAGCCAGAAATTATTCTGAAATGGACCAAACCCGAGTGAGTAAAGATATATAGGTTAATTAAAAAAAACACACACACACACCCACACAGTTAAAAGAAACCTTCATTGTATCTCCTGAGGAGAAACAACAATAAGAAAAAAGAATGAAGTTATTTATATCCAAACTCAAATTATTTTTTCTTATGGTACTTCATTTTCGCTCTACCATTCTTGAGGAATAGTTCTTCAGTTTCATGTTCAATAATGCTCCTTACAGAGAATGCCAATCTTTATTATTTGCTTAGAAATAACTGGGTTTTAGTTGTCTATTTAAACACAACGTTTTAGAATCCGTTCTTAAAGCATTCTCTAGCAAAGCCAAAACCGTTGGTGAAGATCAGCCGAGAGAATCTCCCATAAGAAAATGGCAACCAAAGTGTTTCCTTGCTTGATTTTTGTATTTGTTCTTCTGACGTTATCTTCACTTGAATGTGATGCCTTTGGAAATGGTGCCTTATCTGGGAAAAGATCGTTCCAGGAGAAAAGAGCAAGTAGGATAAATGTAAGGGCAAGTGGTCTTCCCATTAATTTCCTTGTACATATTTGTGTTAAAATTTTCCTGGACATTGGTAGGAATGATTGCAAAAATTGAAGAGTTTTTCACGTGTGCTTGCAATTGCTAAGATACCTTTCCTAAGTTAATAATGTAAAGGATGTCCAGTCCCTTTTTGTTTACTGATGCATTGTATTTTTGTTCTTTTCATTAGCAGGAGGTGCATAGTTTTGCCGTGAGACATCAGCTTTGTGATGCAGCCGAACGTTTGGGTTGCTGAATGACGATTTAACGAACACGAAAAAAGAATTAAAATAAATGCGTATTTCCTCGAATTAATGTCATAAAACTAAATATAACTTAAGTAATGAAAAGTGAAAGTAGAATAAAAATGGCTAAGAAGAAATATGTAACTTGAACAAGTAACTGGAATATCAAGCTCAGCTGCTCACTGTGTGGAATAAAAAGAGCACATGAAGCAGTTTGTGGAGTGTTGTCTTAGTTTCGCTAGGTTTTTTTCACTCTCGAATAGTCTTGCTCCTTTAGTATATAGCGAAAGCTGTTACCTTGCACCCATCCTGTTCAAATATGAATCTCATAATCTTAAAGGGGCTTAGGTATTTTGAGTTATTTTGGCCAGATAAAAATTATCTTTAAATGGTAGGAAACCTGAAAATAACAGTTTAATAAGATAGAAAAACACCAAAGGGATAATGATAAACCATAAAGGAACAAGGATGGCTAAGGATGGAGAAGATTAAACGGATTACAAACGACGAATTTGAAAAATTGAGGCTAAACTTTTCAATATGCGCAAACCGTCACTGAGAGCTCCTTTAATGAGAACGTCTGTTCATTTTTTATCAAAAATTGCAACCTCTTGCAGCTGGAAGTTACCACAGGAAAGCTGTCAATTACTATAAAATTGTCTTAATTGCTATTATTGCTTAAACTACTTTAAATTTCTAAGAAAAAACTTTCATAAATACCTTTTTTAACAGAAATACAGTGCAGTGCCTAGTGTAGCACTAAAATGAACTTTCATACGAATTCTTTTCACTCTAATCTGTTAAATAACGAAAGCAACAATTCTGGATAAAATTATTCACGATCAGTTTAAAGATTTTATACAAAACAATAAAAAATGTTCTTCAAATTGACGACAGCTCGGATTATTACAAAAAGACAAAGCGTTTAATTAATACTTGCGAAAGTGTGTTTTATCTTACGAAAGAACAAACGATCCCTCTTGGATAGCGACGTAGCTAGGTCATACCCAATATGCCCATTCTTTTCGCCTATTTTTTCCCATTCGCTGTTCTTCGCGATGCTCCTCTAACAAAACGAACGCCTGGAATCGAATCGGCACGAAGTGAAGTATGCCGAAGTATGAAGTGTGTCGCACAGGCTGACACACAATGCGTTGTAATTAAAAACAATTTTTTTTGTGTGTATATCAATGAAAAGATGACTCTGTATTGGTATTTCTTAAATTGGAACCACCGACTGAACGTGCCTTAGCCTTCAAATTTGATCAGTCAAGAGCTGCTTTCACAGGTGCACACAGGCTGGAAATGTCTGGGTTATTTTAAGACTTGTTTCATATCTGTTGTTCTTCTTTGCAGGGAGACTAAGACACGTGATTATGTCACAAAAACCCAGCTGTACATTAAACACTGAGCTGAACACAAATCATGATTTTTGATCAAAGAGCTTCTCTTGTTATGATGTAAAATTAAAAACATGTAACAGGAAAATGGTCACCAATATACTGTGTGACTAGAGGATTAAGCGTTACTCTTTTTCATTTATGTATATGTTCCATGATATTTTATGCTATTCAATTACTCTTTTGTGAGGTTGGGTCGGGGTGGGAGGAAGGGATGTTTTCGTAATTCTTTCATGTCTTGAGAAAAGAAAATGATTCGCCCTGGAATACTAAACTGATAATAGAACATTTAAATTAAGGTTTAGCCAAAGGAATTTCCCTTTTCAGCTTTAGAGTACAGACTTTACAGTAACGTTCTTGAAAGGATGGAGCTGTACACTAAAAGTGTAGGTCGACGAGGTTTCAAATGGCTTCATAATGATGAATGCCAATAAATGAGTGAAAAGTGTGGCAGGTGTAAAAAGAGAAATAATAATAATGATTTAGACAAACAACAAAGAGAAACTTTCATTGTTTTCCATAAAAAGAGAGAAGCTATAAAGAGACCGAACATTATCATACATATTGAGATTTATCATCATTGAGTAATGATTGCCCATTGTGCAACGCTTTGAGAATGTTAGTATTTTTTTTTTTATTACTTGCGGTTTTTATATCTTTCCTCTAATATAATGCCAATCTTGATTAATGTACTGTGAAATTATTCATTGAACTGCCTATCTGATCTCTAATCATTTTAGATAAGTTCGTCATCGCCTCGCATTCCCTCAGTAATAGTTGCTCAGTTATTGGTTGTTAAATAGAATGGCACACACGAAATGCCAATCTTGGTTGTCACAAGATTATTTATTACGGTTTGATTTCCTATTTAAACGCACTTTCTAGTGGCACAGAAGCATTCTGCCACAAAGCCAAATCATTGCTGGCCTGAGATCGATATCGCTGGCAGGAGGATGGCAACAAAAGTGCTTTCTTGCTTGACTTGTGTATTTGCCCTTCTGGCGTTGTTTTCACGAGAATGTGATGCAATCGTTATAGGTCCTGCAGGTGAAAGACCACCTGGAAAAATATTATTTCAGAGAAAGGACAGCTTACCAGTGAGTAAAGTAATTTGAAAATAATTTATGCGTAAATTCCTATTGGCCATAACAGTTAGGCAGGCATACTGTACCTATTGGCAGAAAATACAGAAACGTGCATGACCATACATACATACGAAGTAACATTATACCCGAGAATTGGACAGGCTTGAAATTAAAGAACAATGGAAATTGAAAGGGTCTGAACTCTTTGACTTTCATAGTGCATATTCTTATATAAATTCATTTTTCTTTTGGTCTTTTTGTTCTTGCTCTTAATAGGAAGAGATGGATGGTTTTACAGTAAAACGTCAGCTATGTGATGCTGCTGAACGTCTTGGTTGCTGAAGTGTACACCACGTGACGAACAGAACATGAGCCAAAGAAAATAAACCTAACAATAAAGTTTCATTTCCTCTAAGTAATGCTATCAAATTAAACTGAAGGCAACTTAAACAAAGCCAGGTGAAAGAAGGATAAAAATGGCTAAGAAATGTGCAAACTAAACAAGTAGCTTGTTCCTTGTGTGGAATAAAAAAGCTCATGAAGCTGTTGTTTGAGTGGTTTTAGTTTTGCCCTGTTTCCTGGATTCTCGAATAGTCCCGACTCTGTTTCTTTCATAGAAAGTAGCGAAAGAGGTTACCTTGCATACACGGCCTCAATAAATGAACCTAATAAATCTTAGGAGAAAACCTATTTCTCAAGAGAAGGAGAAAACCTATTTCTACGCTGTCCATTACTATCAACTTGTATTCAGTTTAGGGACATGGTCAGCTGGTGTACATGCGCATTAGATACCATTTCATAGCTAATTTGCATATCACAGAGACGCAATCCATACTGTTTTTGACTGTTTTCAACCAAATATGATAAAAATAATATCGTAGGATGAGCAAAAGCCCACTCAAAAACAGATTTTTCAGTACACGATTGAAAGTCAAGCTAAACACTGCGAAGATTAAAGCGGATTTCTAGATAAACTTTGATTTCAGGTTGAGGGGAACTTTTTTCAAAGTGAGAAAACTAGTGTCCAGGTCAGCGCGGTTCCAAAGCTGACTGTGCCATTTTTCAGAAACTGCAAGTTTCTGAAAAGAAACATAAATACCCATTTTAACAGAAATAGCTTTACATTGCATTGCTCTAAAATAACTTTTCATCTCGAGTAAAAGGAAAGCATAAAACCTGGATAATTATTATTGCTATCATTTTAGAGTTTTTATACAACACACGACAATATATTATTACAATTTTCGACAGCTAGTATTATTATAAAAGGACAAAGCATGTAAGCAAAACGTGCGAAGGTGTCTATATATACAAAATGCGAAAACTGTAATTAGAATGCAAGACAAGTTACAATTTATGAAAGAATACGACTCCCAGAGTGAGGCAGGTTTCAAGAGAAATAATAATAATAATAATAATGATGATGATAATGATAATGATAATGATAATAATAATAATAATTGAAAGAGAGACTTTCGCTCCTTCCACAAAAAGAGAGAAGCAATAAAGATATTGACCGGGTTCGTTATCAAACTTAACATTGAGCTTCATCATCACAGACTAATGATTGTTCATTGTGCAACGCTTTCTGAACGCCTGTGTTATAACATATTTTGATTACTTCACGTTAACTTCAGCGTATTCGAGTGCTTATATTATGTGGTTTTTATAACGTTGCTAAAACATAATGCCAATCTTAATTAAAACGCTGCGAAATTAAGCACTGAAGCTGCCTATCAGATCTCAAATCATTTTATATTACTTCATCATCGCCACGCATTTCCTCAGTAATCATCGTTCAGTTATTGCAATTTGTTGTTTAATAGAATTTCTTACACGAAATGCCAATCTTGATTATTGTAAGGTTACTTATGAATGTTTGTTTTCCTATTTCAACGCGCTTTCTAGCATTCTGTTACCACACCAAATCGTTGCTAACCTAGCTTCCTAGAGCCGTACTGTGGAATATTGGCTCTTGGTGGTTTCTGTACGACTTCGCCGCGCCCAGTCCGCACTGCCACGACCTCGGGCCAGTATTTCCCAGGACGACACTCGCGCTCGGTTAGTAAGAGGTTCGGTAATAACTCGTATAAGTTGATTCCTTGTACCCTTTTTTTACTCTGGTTTGTTTACACGTCAATAGTTTAACAAAACATGTACAATAGCTGTTATTAAAGTTACTAGTGGTTTGACATACAAACCAACATGAAAGAAATGGTTGAATAAATAACATATTAGATGTAAATGCCCCACAAATCATGTTAAATTATATCAGGAAACTTTTTATGTTTGTAACAAATGTCGCAATTTCTTGGTCGTCGCTGGGGAGGGCATAGTACTCTGGAAAAGCCAATCAGAAGCAACTTGGCGGGATCCCGCTGCTATTCAATTACCGGCAATGGCAATTAATTTGGTTCGTTCCAACATATTTGGATTGAAGTTTCCTCCGCCCCCACAGCTTCAGCTCAAAATTTTGGTTTTCCTGTGGCGGTTTTTTCTTTCCCCAATCTTGTTGAGGAAACTACTTTTTATCACTAAGAAAAATATGTTATTTTTGATGAGAATATACGCGACAAAGTGATCATCAAGCAAAAGGCTATCTCAACTCCAGAATAGGGAACTTGTTTGTGGATTTAAGAGTGCCTGCCTGTAAAAATCAGACAAATTCTTAATTTCGCGGCAAGGGTCGAAAATTCGATTTCGCTCATCTTCCTATGGTAGATAGGCTAGGATGTGGCAAAAACTACTGAATAGTTTTTTT